CATTCAGAGCCAGAGTTATTGCATTATGAAACTTTAACCGGTGGCCATTTTGAAATCCAAGATGGCCGCCCTCGGCAAAAATTTCGAAATTGCCAACATGATTTTGTTTTGTTTTGGGATCTTCTTATCATTCAGTTCCCATGGGACATTATAGGCTCCCGGACTATATATGCACACGTGCATAAACTATGGTTTCATGATTATTATTGTTTTTAGTTTTGCTTATTTTTTTTTGTAATTTGAGCAACTTTCTATTTCAGTCCGCATATAAATCAAAGCAAATTCCATTTTGTTCTTCACTATTTTTTTGTAATGAACACAAACACATTTTTTGGTTTGATATATTCTCTTTTTAAGAATTCTGTCACACAAATCAAAAAAGTGATTAAGATTTAAACAAAAATAATAACAACCACACGATCATATCCGAATACAAACTGGCCATACAAGATTAGGGCACAAACACGGAAGTGTGTGATAAAACCAACAAAAGAAAAATAAATTATTGATTATTTAAAATGCATAAATACCTAAGACAGTTCACCCATGCCTATTGGTCGAGAGCCCGTCGTGTGGCCGGTTTTAAATGGTTAATAAAAACCTGGCTGGTTCATCTTAAAAAACACTTTTTCAGTGTCACATGAAATTTAGACCACTATGAAATCCGGAGACAGTACTTTTTTATTGGTGGAACGTTCACAATCCTCACGTAGGCATGCGCAACCAACCTATCGCCGTTTGCAGTTAGCCACGCCTTTAGACAACCCTATGTAATGTTGTACGGGTAAATGTTGTTTGTCTCAGATTTTGCGCGTTCCGCGTCCATTTGTATATCATGTTATTGGACAATATTTCACAAGCTGCGTTTTACGCGATTTTACCGTGATCGGTCAATGCTCGCGCTATGGGCTCCGTGCGCTAAAAAGAGGGCGCCCTTTTACCTAGCAACGACGTTTCATGGGCGGGACATTTAGCTGGTTGAAGCGCACCGTTCCTTGTGTGTGACACACGTACGCCAGGGGATTTGTACTATGAACACGCAGTGGTATGTACGGCCGCGCGTCGCGGCAAAATTGCAGTCAGGCAAGATGGCGTCGGTCGGTCACCCTCAACTGTACTTTCTTTGCCTGCGAGGGGGTACTTGTGAACGGAGCGCATACCGGCAAAGCTGCCTTTTACGTCACATTACGCAGTTCGCGCAACGCGTGCGCGCCATTTCCATAATAGGAGTTGTTTAAGCGGCCATTGCATAGTTAGAGGGATGTTTTGTTAAACGAAATAGTTGGAAATTAATAATTTTACACTTGTTTCAAGTGATTTTGAGTTTTATTTTCCGCTCGGGTGTTTATCAACATCCAGGCTTCAACCGGTCTTTAACAGGGTGTTTAAAACCGGCCAGGCACATATTCCATTAGTGATGTTCAGACTGAGATGGGAAATTACTTGTTGACAACTCGTTAGATAGGCGTATTTTGTCCGTGACTTTCAGTGGAACTCCATCGGCGCAGCTGGTTAGAGACTAGTACGTATACGTAATCGGCCGGGTTGCGACATATCTAAAGCCCCTGTCACACTTTCGCGTATCCTAATTCCTTATGAGTTCCTTATCAAAATTTTTCAATACGCAGGCGTACGCTCAAAACGTCGAAATTTTTTGAATACTTTGACTTATGTGCGACGCACATCTAGCGTACAAGTAACGAATTCAGCGCATCAATCGCGTATGAGATGCGTATGAGTTGCGTATGCAGTGCACAACATTATTTTTCGGGCTGCGAATAGGTCAGTATGCAGTGCGCATGCTGAGCGTATTCCGGACGCACCCGACTTATGCCGACCACATGCCTGACGCAATACGTCGGCATTCGCTATGAGTTCGTTCAGCGTGCGTTGTATCTGCGCTGCAAGTACGCTATGTATACGTCCAATTATAGGCGGCTCAAATGCTGACGGGGTGCGTGCCGGGAGGTCAGCGTATTACTGCGTATGAACCGCTTATCCCCCACGAACACATAGCGTACTCGTACCGTGATCGACAGATGCGGGACCCATGCGCTGCGCATTTATAACTTATGACCTGCGTAACAGTAGTTTTGTGCATGCCCAAAACTATCCGGCGTACTGGGCCGTACCATGCGTATGCCTGCGTACATAAAACTTACACAAAACGATAGAGATGCATATGAGGTGCGTATTGTGCGTACGACTGCGCATGAAAAAAAAATGTCAATGCGCAACTCATAAGGAATTGGGATACGCAGAAGTGTGACAGGGCCCTTACGACTTGACAATTACCGTACGTTCTCGCACAGTTATTCATATACCGGTATGCGTGCAGCGCAATACATATGCAGTGCATTTTTGCGTTGAGATTCAATGGCGCACCGCTATGCACATGAGGACTCATTCGTTCCGTTACACGGGGAGTTCTTCTCAATACGTCGGGGACATGTTTGCAGATCTGGCGACGTTTTAACGACTAAATGCACTCAGCTTGGTCAATTGTGTACATAAATAAGTAATTAGAATGATCTTCCGTGGCGGCCTAGAATATACGTTGGAACCTGAACCAATCAGAGTGCTCGCAACGAATTCGCTAGCGATTCAAAATACTCGCAACGTTGTGTACAATTGAAAACGAAATTCGCCAAGTCGGTAATTGAACATCAACAGTCATCATTATTTGGTCTCGGAACCAGACTACGCGCCTTGCAGCGATATTTTGCGTGCGTGGAGCTTGTACCCGGTATCGCACGCAAAACAATCACCGACTTGGCACCAAGATGGGGCTAGACTTGTATTGCGGTTTGTTAAGGACAAATTAACAGGTTATCCGCAGATTGATCTCTCTTTTTTGTTGCTGATTCGAGGAACAGCAATGCAGCAAATGTGAAGCAGTTTATCAAAAAACTGGCCTGTCTAAATATCACGCCTTTTTTTCTGAGTTTCAGGCGCCCAAAATACACAAAGTTTGTTTTTTTTCGAGAAAAAGGAAACATAAAAGTTCAAACAAATTAATATTAGGATAAATAAAATCGCATTTAACATCTTTAACGGTACAGTCCATCATTTGCAGCTATCCAAAAAGTAACTGACACAATTACTATTGTAAAAAAGCATACTTGGTTTCAAGATAGTAAGGACATTTAACTCCCGTGACATTATTCTTTCTGGCAAGCTGTCATTTTGAAGAAAACAGTTGAAGAAGGCTATTTACAACGATGTGTTAGTTCGTTAGTTAGTAGTTCGTTTTTTAATCCGGCGAAGTGCGCGAAATCGTTGACACTACGCATCCGCGCGCGCGGTTGCTGAAATTCGTCGGACGAGTGCGTGGCATCGTGTAGCTGCAATCGGCTCAGTGAGAACGTGTCTGGGACGCTGAATTTAGGCCCAATTCAAAACATGATTCAGCTTTTGAATTGAAATCAAGAATTGTTTTCTCGGAGTATACAGCATTCACTGGGCTAAAACGTTATCAGGTTAGTTGTATAATCAACCTTCTTTAGATTTTGAGCACTTTTGTTGCTTGAACGGAACAAAGAGCACAAATTACAAATATTTCACCTTTAATGATTAGGCTTACTGTTTATCTTTGCCGGATAAAACTAATATCAAATATTCTATGTGTCGATAATAGACGATTTACACCATTTCAACGCGGCGAAAAATATGATGTATGCAAGATTAATGCACGGGTATGCTTATATTCTTAGATTCAGAGGCGCTAAGCTTACAAAGAAACGGAACATCTCCCAATTTTATCCCGAATGACATTTGAACTGGACTACTTCATCGAGATAATGAACTGGCTTATTGCCAATATTTTTTTCCAAATGTAAACTTGTATTGTGCCACATGACGATCGCTTTCGGTTTCTGATTTTCGCAGGCGGAGGTTTTCATCACAAAAATAATCTGAAATGTAGACAGTTTTTTTTTTCTCCGGACACTTGGCCTTCGAAAATCAATAGGTGGGGCGGGGGGGGGGGAGGGCTAGTAACATACAGCTAAACTGGCATTCTCTAATCCCCAAGGAATCACATTTACATAAGATGGACAGCAGCTGGCAGTGGCTGACTGGCATTCAATCAAGATTTTTCACGAGGTGCGATGTCAACGATGTAAATCCGGCATGAAATCGCCTTCCAACACCTGAGGTTTAATCGGTTTTATACGAACAACGTGCTTGTGTTTATTCATGTTCTCCACCGGATGCCTAGCAATGAAAACAAATGTGTACACGTGAAAAAAAAAGGAATCTTGGTACTTTGCACCTGCTGGCTTAATGCCACCATGCGCAAATATCCCTTCTTCTTTTCAACTCTGTTGACGAACCTAGGTTTGAGTTCCCTACAACACAATTAAAAGTTTGAAGACACGCATATCGTCATTAACGGTTATTCGAAGCTGTACATGTTTGAATGTATAATCTCACCTCCCCATATTCCCCCTAGAATAATTTACATTTTGTCGTTATCGATTTAAAAAGATTATAATTTACAAAAATAACTAATGGCTTGTACATAGTAAGCTACAATTCTTCTAAAAAAAATGTTTGTTATCACTTAATTAACCATCAGTTATCAGAAAACAAATCATGCATTAAATTAAATTAACTGTATTAGTAGATATGTGCTATTAATCAAAACAATCTTGTTTTGGACGCTTCGGTTGTTTTTAATAATCGTTGTCAGTGGGGATGTAGTGGAATCAATCACAATTCACTGACAGTCCCCGCAAGTCGGTCACAAGTCCTCCGATTCAAATCACAAGTTTTACAACTGAGATTTGACAAAGATATTTCTTCATTACCTTTCGTCTATTATTGTGACTGGCCTTGAGACTGGCGTTGTGACTGGACTTGTGACTGAAATTGTGACTGGCCTTGTGACTGCAGTTGTGACCGAGCTTGTGACTGGACTTGCGGTTAACATGTGATGGACCCGACTACATACCTGGTTGTCAGTGATTGTTGTTTTGTTGTATATTGCTATTGTTAAGTCAGAATGCTCTTTTATTGATAAACTAATTATTTGTTATATTTCATCGATAGAGGGCGCTGTTAAATTGGACCGTAAGCTATAACTTTCTGCAGTCACGCTTTTGCAGTCGCCATATTTCATGTTTTGTTAGTACGTCATCCCAAAGTCGTAAGTGAAATATACATAACTCATCATTTATAATCCCTTTATTTGGTTATTATGGACATGCTTTGGGTTCTGGGATAAGTTTAAGGTATTTAATTTGGGGAAAAACACACACAAGTATAAACTAGAGACAGTTTATAATGTACATGTATGTGCATTGTGGTTAATTACATGTGACAATAGGGTTATTGCGTGTAATGGTACAAAATGTACATGTAGACCCACAGACAAGGCTGGTGTCGTCAATCCTGTTAATTGCCTGATATTATGTGATTAGTAATGATTGCTTAACTTTAATTATAAACAAAATTGTTGTTGATTCATACTTATATTTTACAACTGATTAAAGTAAATTTTGTATTTGTTATGGACAGATTAAACCGTGTTCACCTGATTACAACTTACAAGCCTGTCAAGTCTGAAGTTGACATTTGATACCGACACCCCGTCACATGAGTTTAATGACTGGGATCTTTGAAGATACATGTACGCCGACAACATGAGCGTAGTTAGTAGTGGTGAGCACAGCGTCAAGCACCATGATGGTGACTCAACATGTGGAGATGGTGAAAGGCAGGGGGAGTTAGTACGTCCAGAGGACTCCGCCAGTCAGTTATCGTCAAGGACGAGCACCACGAAGTCGTCACTTGGTAGAACCAGGAAGAGGCTCGTCGCCAAGATGGCAGCGCTTGAAGCAGAGGCAGCAAGCTTACGAGAGATGCAGGCGATAGAGCTGGAAGAGCTGAAATTGCGTCAAAGAAAGCAAGAGCTCGCACTCAAGACCACGATGGACATGGCTAAGGCGGAAAAATTAGTTTACGCCATTGATGAGGACTGTCTTCACATGACACCCCCAAATTCGACACCATCACCAGCACTGAGCGACAAGCAGGAGTCATCAAAGGACAGTGTCCCTGAAGCAGGGGATGAGCAGACACCCCAGAAGGAACCACGTAACTCCCCTGTGGATAGCCCGTCAAATACGACACTGAAGAACGAAGAGCCCTCCGTGGACAAACCCAAGACAACCCCAACGGATGATGACAACCCACAAAAACAAGCCTCGCTCCTGGAATTGGTAAAAAGGGGGCAACAACAGCAGCGGTGCTTGCTAGCAACAATGCAACTTCCGAGAGCAGAGTTACCAACCTTCGATGGCAACCCACTACAATACTGGACCTTTCTGCGTGCATTCGAGAACAGTGTAGACAATGCAGATATCGATGTCAATGCTAAGCTAATAAGGCTTCTCAAGTACTGTACCGGAAAAGCAAGGAAGATCATAGAGTGTTGTGCCATAATGCAGCCAGATGTTGGTTACCAGAGGGCGAAGGCACTTCTCAAAGAACGTTTTGGCAGTGATTATGTCATAGCTGAGGCGTGGGTAAATAAGGTAACAAAAGGTGCGCCCTTGGCTTCCCATGATAAAGTAGGGCTAAGAGAATATGCTGATGACCTCAAAGTTTGTAAGGAAACGTTGGACACAATGGGGTATACCCAGGAAATAGGAACCCAGGGTGTAATGGTAAAACTTGTAGAGAAGCTGCCCAGTTATTTGCGTAATCGCTGGATAAAACATGTTAGGGGGTTTAGAAAGAGTAACAAGTCTCCTAAGATTGTTAATTTGGTTGAGTTTGTTGAAGATGCAGCCCAGGAGGCCAATGATCCTGTATATGGTAATTTACATGTAAGTGCATATAAGCCACAAAAACCAGAGATGAGGCCTAAAGTAACCAGACCAGACAAAACTAGCTATGCATTGGTAACAAATAGCAAGATGAATGAACATGTAACATGTGTTATGTGTAAGGGTAACCATACACTGTTTGGTTGTTCTGAATTCAAGGGTAAAACACCAGAAGAGCGGTTTAACTTTGCCAAAGCCGAAAGATTATATTACAATTGTTTAAGGCCAGGACATGTTTCAAGTGCATGTAGTTTGCATAGAGTTTGTTCTGTTACAGGTTGCGGTAAAAGACACACAAAGTTCTTGCATCCATTAAAACAGACACCGTCGTCTAGTGTTGGAGATGCTAGACCAGCTGGGCTGGAGGCAACAGCGCAAAGTAGCTTCACTGAGACGGACCTTGGCACTTCTTGCGTCACAGGGGTCGGGGTGTACAGAGTTGCCCTACCCATTGTTGCAGTGAAGGTCAGTGCGGTAGATGGCCATTGTAGCATTGACACTTACGCTCTTCTTGACAATGGTTCCACAAGCAGTTTCTGTACGGAGGAGCTTGCATCACAACTGAACATTGAGGGTAAAAGGCAATCTTTGACCCTAACCACAATGACAAAGGCAAAGGTAAAGACTGAAACAACCGTCGTCAGCTTGGTGGTGAACAGTTTCGACCAACAAGGGGCAGTTAATCTGGATAAGGTCTATACACGGCACTCACTCCCGATTAATGATGACAACATAGCTGAGCCAGAAGACATCAAGAAATGGCCACATCTGCAAGACATCAGCATCCCCCAAGTCGAGAAAGGAAAGGTACATCTATTGATTGGTCAAGACTCGCCAGAGGCTCTCGTACCATTGGAAGTGAGAAGTGGTGAAACAAAGGCACCCTATGCTACCAGAACTCGGCTTGGATGGTCCTTAAATGGGCCATTAGGAATGTCCAGAAGGGCTGCGGTCACGTCAAGCTATGTGGCAGTTGATGACACTCTTGAGCAACAGCTTCAGAGATTCTGGAAATTGGATGCTGCTGAGTCACTGTATGATGATGACAAGGGCATGTCAGTCCAAGACAAGAGAGCAATTGCATTGTGGGAGAAGACTGTTTGCCTGAAGGATGGGCACTATGAATTGCCAATACCCTTCAAGAACAACCCGCAAAGGCTTGCTGATAATCGAATGGTCGCAGAGCAACGCCTAACATCATTGGGCAGACGTCTGAAGAGGGACTGTCAGTTGAAGGCACGCTATACAGAAGGCATGAAGGAGTTGGTAGGTAATGGATATGCTGAGGTAGTTGTAGGGGATGATTGTGTAACAGATGCAGCCATATGGTATCTACCACATCATCCGGTACTCGATTCGGGTAAACAAGGGAAGATGCGGATCGTCTTCGATTGTGCCGCTAAACACAATGGTCAGTCCTTGAACACGCAGACAATCAGTGGGCCAGACCTGACAAACAAATTGTTGGGCGTACTCCTGCGCTTTCGACAAGAGCAAGTGGCAGTTTTGGCAGACATTCGCGCCATGTTCCACCAGGTCAGAGTGTCTCCAGAAAACCGAGACGTCTTGCGTTACCTTTGGTGGCCTGACGGAGATACTTCACTTGAACCGGCTGTGCACAGGATGACTGCACACCCATTCGGCGGGACATGGAGTCCCAGTTGCTGTTCCTTTGCTTTACGACGTACTGCAGAAGACAACCGTCAAGATTTCCATCCAGACACAGTTGGCTGCGTCAAGCGCAGTTTCTACGTCGACGACTGCCTAGTCTCACTAGCAACAGAAGCTGAGGCTATCCGGGTTTCTCGAGAGTTGTGAGAACTTTTGTCCAGAGGTGGTTTTCAATTAACGAAGTGGTTGAGTAACAGCCCTGAAGTTCTTGAGTCTATCCCACAAGAAGATAGAGCTGTGGGTGTCAGGGGGCTAGACCTGAATCATGAAGCTCTACCTACAGAGAGGGCCTTGGGTATGCAGTGGGATGTCGAGACTGATTGCTTTGGATATAAAGAGAGTCAGAAGGAGAAACCCTTGACAAGGAGGGGGTTGCTAAGTATTGTATCCTCCATCTATGACCCGCATGGATTTGCTAGTCCCTTCACGCTGTTAGCCAAAAGGATCGTCCAAGACTTAAGCAGGAAGAAGTTGGGTTGGGACGAAGCACTGCCGTCACGACACAGAGAGGATTGGCAACGCTGGAAACAGGACTTGGGAAAACTCGAACAGCTGCGGATAAACCGATGTATCAAGCCTTATGGGTACAAGGATGGTGTCAGTTATCAGTTACATCACTTTTCCGATGCGTCTGAGGCAGCGTACGGAGCTGTTACTTACCTTCGTATGGTGAATTCTGCAGGCCTCAGTCACACGTGTTTGCTGTTGTCAAAGTCACGTCTGGCACCTTTAAAAAAGGTTACGATACCAAGACTCGAGCTGACAGCTGCGACACTCTCTGTGAGGCTGGATGCAATGATCAAGAAGGAGTTAGACCTACCTTTGGAAGAATCAGTCTTCTGGACTGATAGCACAATAGTGCTTCGATACATCAATAACGAAGAGAAGCGTTTCCACACCTTTGTGGGGAACAGAGTAGCCGTCATCCAGAACCAGTCAAGTTCTCATCAGTGGCGCCATGTGAAAAGCGGGCTAAATCCGGCAGATATTGTCACGAGAGGACAAATGGCGGATGAGCTGCTGGCCAACCAGAAGTGGTTGATTGGTCCTGAATTCTTGCGCCAAGATGGCCACCTGTGGCCAAGTTTACCAATCTCGACAACCCTTAACGATAACGATCCAGAAGTAAAGCCTGAGAAGGAGATAGTCACCGTTTACGCCACCGAGCGTAAGGATTCAGCTAATCCAACCGACAGATTGATAGCCAGGCACTCCTCATGGTATGAGCTGAAAAGAAGTGTTGCATGGATTATGCGAGTGGCTGATAGTCTGCTAAGAAGAATCAGGAAGCAACCGGCAGTACAAGACATGAAGACACTGACAACAAACGACCTGGCTAGGGCAGAGGCTTCTATCATAAGATACATTCAAGCCCAGTCATTTCAAGAGGAGTTCAGCCACTTGAAGAAGGGTGAAGATAAGATTCAGAAGCTAAAAGCTGAAATGAAGAAGAAAGGTCAACTGTACAAGTTGGATCCTATCCTGACAGAAGACGGCATCATCAGAGTTGGGGGACGATTGCGGAATGCCCCGGGGAATATGTCAAATCAACCACCCATATTGCCAAAGGGCAACCATGTGGTCTCTCTCATCATGAAGCACTACCATCTGGAATCTGGTCATTCTGGGAGGGAGTATGTTCTGTCACTGATACGACAAAGATTCTGGATCATCAAGGCTAGATCTATGCTGCGTAGAGTTTTGAGCAATTGCTTCGAGTGTAGACGAAGATCTGCAGTTCCGGTCCAGCAAAAGATGGCAGACTTACCATCTGACAGAGTTACCCCAGGCAGACCACCATTCTCATTTGTTGGAGTCGACTGTTTTGGACCATTTCTGGTGAAACAGGGTAGAAATCAGATCAAACGATACGGTTGTATATTCACATGTCTAACATCTCGAGCGGTACACATAGAAGTTCTGCACACATTGGATACTGATTCCTTCATAAACGGCATGCAGAGATTTATCTGTCGGCGAGGACAACCAATAGAGCTGAGGTCTGACAATGGCTCTAATTTCATTGGGGCTGAGCGTGAGCTCAAGGAAGCTTGGAAAGGGTTGAGTCAAGAGAAGGTTGACAAGTGCCTTCTAAAGAAGGGAATCCAGTGGAAGTTCAACCCCCCGACCGCTTCCCACATGGGAGGCGTATGGGAAAGACAAATAAGGTCGACACGCAGGCTGTTGAGTTCACTGATGACAGAGCAAGTAGTAAGCGATGAAACCTTGTCAACTGTAATGTGTCTAGTCGAATGTATCATAAACAACAGGCCGATTACCACCGTTTCAGACGACATCAATGACTTGGAGCCACTCACACCAAATCACCTACTACTTCTTCGTGGTGCACCCCATTCCCTTGGTGAATTCGACAAAAAGGAGATGTACACACGGAGGTGATGGAAGCAAGCACAATATCTTGCTGATGTATTCTGGAGAAGGTGGATCCGAGAATACCTCCCCACACTTCAGAAGAGACAGAAATGGCTTGAGCCCAAAGGGAACATCATGGTTGGCGACTTAGTACTTATTGTCGACAATGACCTCCCTAGAAACAAATGGCTTCTCGGGCGTGTTCTTGAAACTTACCCTGGGAAGGATCAGCTTGTAAGAGTGGTCAAAGTTAAAACCAAGTCATCCATTCTGACTAGGCCAGTGCAGAAGTTGTGTCTCTTAGAGTCAGTGGATAAGGAATAGTAGACTACATGTATGTATATGGTCTTCATCACATTTGTAGCTTGTGTCAAAACCTAAAGTTCCAGCGCCAAGTTTCTTGTAAGGTTATTTGTAATTGTACATTATAATTTGGAATGATGTTATTGTTGCAATCGTATAATCATGTGACAATGTTTAAAGGTATGAAGCACCCGATTTGTTAAAATAGTTGCATTCTGCTTAAAGTTGAGATTAAGTAGTAAATGTCGTATTGAGTAGAAAATGACATTTAAGGGGTCGGAATGTTAAGTCAGAATGCTCTTTTATTGATAAACTAATTATTTGTTATATTTCATCGATAGAGGGCGCTGTTAAATTGGACCGTAAGCTATAACTTTCTGCAGTCACGCTTTTGCAGTCGCCATATTTCATGTTTTGTTAGTACGTCATCCCAAAGTCGTAAGTGAAATATACATAACTCATCATTTATAATCCCTTTATTTGGTTATTATGGACATGCTTTGGGTTCTGGGATAAGTTTAAGGTATTTAATTTGGGGAAAAACACACACAAGTATAAACTAGAGACAGTTTATAATGTACATGTATGTGCATTGTGGTTAATTACATGTGACAATAGGGTTATTGCGTGTAATGGTACAAAATGTACATGTAGACCCACAGACAAGGCTGGTGTCGTCAATCCTGTTAATTGCCTGATATTATGTGATTAGTAATGATTGCTTAACTTTAATTATAAACAAAATTGTTGTTGATTCATACTTATATTTTACAACTGATTAAAGTAAATTTTGTATTTGTTATGGACAGATTAAACCGTGTTCACCTGATTACAACTTACAAGCCTGTCAAGTCTGAAGTTGACATTTGATACCGACACCCCGTCACAGCTATGTCTCATTAATATGTAAACAATACCATCTTGCGGGAAAAATGTTCACTTTACAATCATTACCAATATTTTGGATCGCTTTGTAATATTCACGTTTAATACTTCACTGCAGCAACGTCGATATAAAAACGTAGTGCATAAGTGCATCGTGTAAATCGATGATGAGGTCGTTCAGCGTAATATGTAGAATTTGATTATCAAACTATATGCAATACATAACCAATAAACAGGAATATAACAACAACTGAAGATAACACATTATGTTAATTTGTTTTTGTCCTGAGTTAGGCTTATTTAGGTGAAATGGCTAATTTGAGTTTGGTTGGGTTGACAGGTTTGGATGCGTTTAGTTGGATAGGCTGGGCCTATTTATAATTTGAAAACCATGATCACATTTGATCTCGGCAGTGGACACCCTTAATCATTAAGAAGAACTTTAACTTTGCGATAAAAGAACAGCTGCATGCCAAACCCAAATTACTGTATCTCCGAAATTGCCAAAAAATAATAAATAAAACAAACAATATATTTCAGTCAACGCTAGTTGGCAAGCCGAACGATAAGTTTTCCGGATTCGTAATTTAAACGATTTGGAATGCCACAAAATGTGTTGTTTAACCCTTCAGCTTCTTAAAGAGTGTCACTAAGATAGAATCTGCAGACACTACTAAAGCTATGAGACACGGCGCGTAACACACCGAGATTACCTTCCGTGTCACCTGTAGACAAATAACTGATCTGACAACAAAATCTAATAATGCTTCTTCAAAGGATGGTGGGGAAACTACAAACATGCAATTTTGACTACACACCTAAAAGCAAGTTTCATTGATGCATACAATTGTTTGCTATAGTCCAATCTGGGCACGCTAGTAATTCTATCACAAAGGCCCCCTTCAATTGCAAAATCATTGTGTTGTCTATTCAGGTAATCCGCCACAGAGCAATTGCTTTGTACAGTAGCAACACAACGGTTTCTCAATTGAAGGGGTCTTCGTGAGTGTACGGTGACCATATGCCCGAATCCCTCCATGGATTCTTCCAAGAACTTACTGCCTGATAGTTTCAATATCGTTTGAAAACAATAGGGGGCGCAATTCATATTCAATGGTAAGTCACTTCCTGCGTGCGCAATTTTGGAGAGTTGGGGCCTAATCATGCACAGTTCAGTTTTTCCTTTGAATCATTGCAAGGCACTTGCAAGGCACTTTGGGTTAAATTAAAATTATTGCAACGATAAATTGAGAGAAAAAAAAAGTTGATAAAAACGACGTGGATTCGAACCAGGGATCTTTATATCCATAGCTCATCTCGTTATCTACTAGCTAGGCTCCTGCGGTAACTCGACGACGGCCGCACTTTCAAATGCTCTAACGTAACTGGTTGACTAAATAACAACAATGTTCTTGATAACATTGTTCTGTTTTCATGAATAAACATACCTGGCAGATTGAAACTACTGAATTATGCATGACTTGGCCCCAACTGTTCTGGGAATACAATTTACGCTTCCCTCGTCCATGACCATATCAACATCATTGGGCAACGATGGGTGCCCACATGTATAGACAGGCATGCATAGGTTCATCTGCATTTTCTACTAGTCATTGTTGATTGCAAATCTTGGCTCGTGTCGGCAAACTCGTATCTACGTCTGTAAATCATGTCCACATGAAAAGCTTCTTACAATGCAGTGCTCCATCATGCGTTTGCCATGGAACGTTTGTCATGCGTTTGCCTCTGGAACAACCCAAGAGTTGAATTACGACAAACGTCTTCTTTGCAGTTATTTAAATTTGTTCACCTCTCCTTTCTTTTCAGTTTGAATTTCACTAATTTTTGCTGTAAAACCTTACAGTTATCATTTAATGATGTTGAACGCGCCATGATCATTTTACTTGGCGGATTCGACGCTATATAATATTTTATAAGATTTATTAATCAATTACGAAATTAATTAAATTACACTACATGGTTTCATGTAAATCAATTTGTTTTGAACACAATATTATATTTTGGGAATTTGTAGCCCGTCCCAGCCGAAAAAGATACTCCTTATTGGTAAAGGTTAAGAGGTAGATAGGTTCGTCAACGTCTTCAGTGTCGATGAGGTCTTTTTGGCGATCTGCAGGAGTTTGGCTGCCTCTGCCTTGCCGGTCTCTTGCACCATCTTGCTGAAGATACTGTCTTTCGTCTGAAGCAGAACGTAAGGCTCGTCAAACTCGATGAGCTGCCCTGCGTCAAGCACCTGAAAAACAGCAACAAGACTTAATGATCACCTCGGGAATCAAAAGACACATCTCCTCCGAATTGTTAAAAAACCCGACATTTTGGATGGATCAATCAAACACATCACATCACAATGTATTACAAAATCGGTTGCACCACGAACCGACGTATCCCAATTTAAACTTTATTGTATGCAATCCGTGTGCATCTTAGTTGCTTAGTTTTTAAGAAATTCGGTTTTCAAGATACACGTCACTTCGTGAAACATTATCGTATTCCTTACAATGCACGTAATTGTGGCAGAGACCGGGATACGTCGGTTCGTGAAACGCCAAATTCACACTTTTCATGTCGATGCTCTTGTGTGACGTCTTAGCACTTTGGGAATTTGCGTATAAAGCGGTTTATCGTAAAACGTCACATTGTTGTGAATGATTTCGGAGTTTTTAGAGATATACCGCAGAGTCTGGTGAGTGTTTTTGATATTCAGATCAGATTAATACTATGTGAAGAGGAGCATTTCGATGCAATATAAACGTTTATAACGAAAACTCCATTTTGCCAAAAATGTAGATACGCCGGTTCGTGGTGCGACCGACGTAATGCGAAAACAGTATATTCTGTTGGTCAATCAACATTCTATTATTAAATCTCGTATGCCCTGAAGTCATACCATAACTTTGTCCAAGTCCATTATTGTGTTGAGACGATGAGCTATTGTCAGAACTGTGCAGTGTTTGAACCGCCGTCTGATGGTTGCCTGAATCAAGCGGTCAGTTCTATTGGAAGGAAATAAAAAATAAAATAAGAACTTAATATTTTTACGACAATAATAAGATCTCTAAAAGCCGCCGCCAAATATAAATAGGGGTTTAGCCCACTTTTCAATTCTATCAGTTTATCCAGAAATCCACTTTGACCATAAATGGTCTCAGCTCTTCAATCAACACTGATCCTGTAAATCAGTAGCAGGTGGAAATAGGCGTATATTTATAAGTGGTCTTTCCTCATTTTATTTTTCAGGATTAGTGTAAAGCGCCAGCGAGTTTTTTTACGGGCTATCTGATTGTATGTATGAGAAATAAAACAGGTGGATGATACAGTTGATTCAGTTAAAACGGGGGTATGGCGTTTGCCAGGTAATTCCTAAGCATGTTCACTCACCTGATGTCCACGTTGGCTGTGGCTTCGTCCACTATGAGGATCTTGTTCTTGCGTAGGATAGCCCTAGCCAGGCACAGTAGCTGCCTCTGACCCACACTGAAATTAGTGCCTCCCTCGGTCAAGACTGCCTCCAACTTGTCCGGTAGCTCCTCAATCGCTGGTTTCAACTCAACCTTTAATTTGGGACACAAAAAGGCGCTCGTAAGAGTGAATATCATATCCACAAGTAGTCTCTTCTTGTTTTCTACATTTCTCCATCTTCCAGAGATTTGTCTAGTTATCTGTCGCAACATTTTTCATCGCTTTTAAGCCCCAATGATGGAAATCTTGGATTATTAATTCGGTTTACAGTTTAGATTACCTACTGCTGAAATCGATACCGAGCGAAAGCCAGTGCGAGAAAAAGGCATTTTTATATCTGCAGTTTTAGATTTGTTTGT